ACTACTGTGTTGTTGGGCAGTTCATAAGAGGTTGACCTCCAACTTCACTGATGTAAAATCCTATCAGAAATATTAAGGCAGCCATACAGAAAAGGATCATTCTAGTGAATGCTGTCCATCGAGCATATTTTGTAGCTTCTCTTTGCCAGTGGGAAGCTACCCGCAACCCACATGTGACAGTCAATGAAATGATTCCCATGATGATAAAAAAGTGCGGTGACCCACTCTGGGGACAGCTAAGGAGGAGGCAGGTCCAGTCTTGTCCACGGATTCTTTGACACTATTGCACTAGGCGCACAGTGAGTGCTCCCAATGACTCCCCATTGTTGATCCAGTCTGGGTTGGCAATGCTGACAATAGCAAAGATATTGGCAGCCAGAAAGAAACATCCTGAGATGATGGTCACTTTATCCATCTCCCCACTCCACTCCCTCCACCCCCCCAGCCCCAAGCAGGCCAAAGCCTCGTGCTTCCTACCCTATGGGCTGCTGCCTCACACCCCCTTGCCCCCAAACCCCCCGTGCCTGCCACTTGTATCCCTCTACCAGACTTTTAAAGAAAAACTAATACTGGTGCTCCTCAAACTAGTCCATAACATGAAACTCTTCCAAACTCATTCTATGAAGCCAGCACTACTCAGATACCAAACCTGATATGAACACATCAAAAAAAGACAACTACAGACCATTAGCCTTCATGAACATGTGCAAAAATCCTCAATAAAAATTCTTACAAATCAAATCCATCAACACATTAAAAATATCATTCACCATGATCAAGTTAGTTTCATTCCAGGGATGCAAGGACTGTTGAACATATGCAAATCAATAAATAGAACATAGCACATAAACAGAATAAACAAAAATCAATATTCATCTCAATAAATGCAGAAAAGGTCTTTGACAAAATTCAAGAACCCTTCAGGATAAAAACCCTGATTAAATTAGGTACAAAGGATTATACCTAAACATAGTAAGAACTATATATGAAAATTACATTGCCAACATCATATTGAATGGGGAAAAACTGAATTTCCTCTAAAACCAGGAACAAGTCAAGGGTAAGAGCATCTACTCTCAACACTGATATAATACTGGAAATTTTAACCAGGGCAATTAGGCAAATGAAAAGTATGCAAATAGGAAAGGAAGAGGTTAAATTATCCTGTTCGCTGATGATACGATTTTATACTTAGAAAACCTACAAAGAACTCTACCAAAACCCTCACAAATTATGAGCAAATTTAACAAACTGTCAGGATACAAAAATCAATGTTTGAAAATGTGTAGCTTTTCTGTCCACAATTACTTCACTGAGAAAGAAATCAGGGTAACAATTCCATTCACAATAGCCTCAAAAAATACCTAGGAATAAAACTAACCAAGGAGGTGAAAGAACTCCACAATGAAAATTACACAACACTAAAGATAAAGGTAATAGTAGTTGATGGAAAGGATTGGAAGAATTAATATTGTTAAAATGGCCATAGGACCAAAACCAATCTACAGACTCAATGCAATCCCATCAAAATCCCAATGGCATCATTCACAGAACTAGAAAAAACAATCCTAAAAAATTCATATGGAAACACAAAAGATCTCATGCAAATAGCCAAAGCAATTGTGAGCAAAAAACAGCAGTCTTGAGTATTTCAACACCTGATTTCAAAATAGTTACAAAAACAGTACGGTACTGGCATAAAAACAGACACATACACCAATGGACTAGAGGAACCAGAAATAAACTCCTTCATCTACAGTCAAATGATTCTGAACAAAGGTACTAAAAAACACTCTGGAGAAAAAAGAGCCTCTTAACAAATCATGAGAAAACTGGATATTCAAATGCAGAAGATCAAACCTAAACCCCAATCTCTCACCTTGTACAAAAATCAACTCAGAATGAATCAAAGACCTTAATGTAATATCTAAAAATTTGAAACTACTAGAAGGGAAAACTGTATAGGGGAAACTCTTCAACATACTGGCAGAGGAAATAATTTTCTGAATAGGACTCCAATAGCTCAGGAAACAAAAGAAAGATTGACAAATGGGATTTCATTGAATCAACAAGTTTCTATAAAGCAAAGGAAATAATCAGACATTATTGACTAAACAGACAACCTGCATAGTGGGAGAAAATCTTTTCCAAGCATTTATATGACAAAGGATTATTGCCCATAACATAAAAACTAAATAAATTTAATACCAAAAGAATAAGTAATTCAGTAAGAAATGAGCAAATGATATGAGTAGACACTTCTTGAAAATGAAAAATGGCCAATATATATGTAAATATGCCCTATGTCCATTAAGGAAATGCAAATCAGAACTACCCTGAGATCCCATCTCAGCCCAATCAGTGCGGTGATCCAAAAAAAAAAAAAACCACATTAAAAAAATGATGATGAGGACGTAGGGTAAAAGGAACACTTAATACACTGTTGGTGGGAATATAAATTCGTATAACCAATCAAAAACAATATGGAGGTCACTCAAAAAACTAAAAGTAGCACTATCATATGATCTGGCTATACGACTCCTAGTTATTTATCTGAAGGAAATAAAGTTATCACACGAGATATTTGCATATCTGTGTTTACTGCAGCATTAATCACAATAGCCAAGATATGGAATAAGCCCAGATGCCCATCAACAGATGAGTAGGTAAAGAAAATATTGTATATACAGACAATGGAGCAATATTCACCATAAAGAATTAAATTATGTTATTCACAGGAAAATGGGCAGAACTGAAGGACATGATATTAAATAAAATATGCCAGAATCAGAAAGACAAGTATCTCATATTTTCTCTCATATGTGGAAATTTATAAATAAATAAAGTCTTTAGGCAGAATAATGGGCAACAGACACTGAAGTAATTGAGGATGTATCGGAAAAAAAGATGTAAACAATTTGAAGTCAGGGAAACTTATTTTATCATATCTCTCCAATACTAACAATCAGACATGATTCATGAAATATCATCAGGAATATTACCTGGTAATTACCTGTCTATTGAATATTATCAACGCTTATAGTAATAATGCAGATACTCCACTTAAAATTTAAGATACTATTATATTATCAAGAAATTGTTTTATGTACCACTAAAAGAAAAATTCTGCCAAGTGACCCAATGCTTTGTTTGTACTTCTTCCCTATAAGGAACTTTAATTTTTGTTACACAGGTTTTGACCATATAATAAGTGAAACAAATTGATAGCCAGTGGTTACTATCAAAGGGCTTATGGAGTGTTTGATACACTAGTATGGGATTCCACTTAACATTTTATCAGACCAAGGGACCAATTTAACAGCAAAGAAGCAGGCCTATAAGATCCCCAGGTCCTAACACACACTGCACCACATAGCAAACAATGAAATCCCTATTCTCTATGGAAAGAATGGCTCTCCAGTCAGCTTAGAAGCAACATTATATGAGGAGAGGGCATCAACCAACAGGACACAGTAACTCTTTGAATCAAATATATTTTTATGCTGCAGTATCTTGAGAACCAAGGGATGCAAGCAAGAGTGACCTACCTGCCATGTTGTCCCAATAGTCCACATGGGAAAGCTGTGGCTCCCCCAAATCTAGGTTCTACAGAAATAGAGTTTTTGGCTCCCAAAGAGAACAATTCCAATAAAGAAAATAACAAAGGCACTACAGAAACTTAAGTAATGCTGCCGCCTGGACACTTTAAGCTCCCTGTGCCAAGAAAATGACCAGTTCATAGGAAGAGTCAACCTCTTAGTAGAAATATGTCATTCTAATCTCTGAATTCACAAGACCACACATAGGAAGATCCCTTAATTACCTGTCAATAATTGGCACGTGAATTTTCTACTAAAGCCCAATTCTCCTAAGTCCTATATACATTTAAGTTTGAACATAAAGCACATTAAGAATAACTTCATTTAGTAAACACTTAAATTCTAGGTGCTGTGACACAAACAAACACACACACTTTCAACAGATTCTGATGCTAATGCAAAGGAATAAAGATAAAAAAATGAAAAATCTGATAAGACTTTTTAAAAATATACCTTCTTTTTATTTTTTTTTATTTTTTTTTTTTTATTATTCCTATGTGCATACAAGGCTTGGGTCATTTCTTCCCCCTGCCCCCACCCCCTCCCTTACCACCCACTCCACCCCCTCCCTCTCCCCGCTACCCCCTCAATACCCAGCAGAAACTATTTTGCCCTTATTTCTAATTTTGTTGTAGAGAGAGTGTAAGCCATAATAGGAAGGAACAAGGGTTTTTGCTGGTTGAGATAAGGATAGCTATACAAGGAGTTGACTCACATTAATTTCCTGTGCATGTGTGTTACCTTCTAGGTTAATTCTTTTTGATCTAACCTTTTCTCTAGTTCCTGGTCCCCTTTTCCTGTTGGCCTCAGTTGTTTCTAAGGTATCTGCTTTAGATTCTCTGCATTAAGGGCAACAAATGCTAACTAATTTTTTAGGTGTCTCACCTATCCTCACCCCTCCCTTGTGTGCTAAAGCTTTTATCATGTGCTCAAAATCCAATCCCCTTGTTGTGTTTGCCCTTGATCTAATGTGCACATATGAGGGAGAACATACGATTTTTGGTCTTTTGGGCCAGGCTAACCTCACTCAGAATGATGTTCTCCAATTCCATCCATTTACCAGCGAATGATAACATTTCGTTCTTCTTCATGGCTGCATAAAATTCCATTGTGTATAGATACCACATTTTCTTAATCCATTCGTCAGTGGTGGGGCATCTTGGCTGTTTCCATAACTTGGCTATTGTGAATAGTGCCGCAATAAACATGGGTGTGCAGGTGCCTCTGGAGTAACCTGTATCACAGTCTTTTGGGTATATCCCCAAGAGTGGTATTGTTGGATCAAATGTATACCTTCTTTTTAAAAGTGCCTTATAAATCTTTTTTAAAGATAATCAAATCTCTAAAAAACAATATTCACATTACTTTCACCTGGTATATAAACAATAAGAAAAAACTTACCTCTGAATTTCTTCTGGAAAAGTTGCACTGAATAAAAGGGTTTGACGCTGTTCTTTTGATGGCATTCCTGGGCAAGAAATTAACTTCTTCATTTCTGGTCCAAAACCCATATCCAACATGCGATCAGCTTCATCCAAGACTAAATACTTGACTTGTTTGAGACCAATCTTTAAGAATATTTCAAAGGCAAGAATAGAAGAATGTGTATTATGGTTTATATCGAACTAAAACATTCTCTACAATTCCAACTATTAAAATATTCAAGACCAGAAATCAATGCATAAAATGAGAACTGTTAGATTCATCACAGATAACAGATGATTCTATTAGTGTTTCTGTTTTCCATTTTTTCTAATGCATAAACAACCAAAATATCTATCAATACTTTGTAAGAGGACATCTGTAATTACTTGAAAGTTCTATTATCGGATATGTTACCCACCAGCCATATGTAGCTAGTAAACACTTGAGAAACATGACTTGACACTCTAGAATGAATTTTTGCATTTTAAAGCTTAAGTAGCCACATGTGGGTAATTATTACTTATAGGCACAGAATATATCCAGACAGTACTATCTGATGAAATTAGACTCTCTAATGTAAGAACTAAAACCTAACATATTTGAATACTTTATTAACTGGCAAATTTTTTTCTAACCCTTTTAAATCCTCAATAAATTCTCCATTCTCTAATCACTAAGAAACTGAGAAATTTCTCTTACCTTTGCTTTAAGAATACTACTTCTTTGTATAAATAAAACACTGGCAAAAACATAAGAGACTGGTACCACCACATAAATGGTTAGCAAGAATTTTCAGTGGGTCTCTAGATACTTAGTAAGTATCCCAAAAAAGATGTCTTTATCCAGAAAGAGCACATTTTAAATAACTCTTTTAGATAATACAAAAAAGCAAATGAGATTCATTAAAATAAACTTAATTAATTCAGAGATCTAATAATTTGGTATGTGAACTTCTAAGTGAGTACACAATCCAGAAATCTCACTGACAGTGCATGCCTGTCATCTCAGCTACTCAGGAAGTGGAGATCAGGAGGATCACAGCTCAAGGCTAGCCAGTAAGCCAGGTGTGGTAGTGAAGCCTATAATCTCAGCTACATAGAAACCATTAAGTTAGGAGAAGTGTGGTATAAAGCCAATCCTAGGCAAAAATGCCAGATTCTATCCCAAAAGTAATTTAAGAAAAAAGGGGTGAAGGCATAGCTCAAGTGGGAGCAAGCATGAGTCCTAAGTTCAAACCCAAGTTCAAAAAATTTAAAAAACACTATTAAAAAGATTTAGAAAATTAATAATCCAGGTTAATACCATTCACATGCTTAAACAGGAAACAAAATTATTAATACCATAAAGGGTCTCTTCTAGGAGAAAAACTATTTCACCAAGATATATATAAAAGTATTTATTGCATTTTTCTGACAGCATAATGGGGTATAAAATATGGATTCTGGAATGAAACCCAGATTCTAATCCTAAATCTATCAGTTACTAGAGCTAACTGAGGAATTTTAAATTATACAATCTCACAGTTTGTTTTCCTAAATATAAAATGAAAATACTATTATGTCTTATTGGGATTATCTTGAGAATGCACTCAAAGAATCCAATAGAGCCTGAAATATAGTGCTCTAATAAATATTTTTCATTTCTCCATTCCTTTCACCTGTAAAAATTTATCAATCTTAAAACTCTGTTATCCTAAGGCCTACCTTTTCTTTACCTATGATATCCATCAGTCTCCCGGGGGTGGCACATAATACATTACAACCTTGTACTATTTGTCGAATTGAATGTCCCAACTGGGTTCCTCCATATATGACAACAGCTCTTACACAAGTCCTATAAACAAGAAAAACGTCAGTTCCAGTTACTTGAAAATTATAATTTGTTCCTAAAGATACAAAATGAAGTCCATAAGGAAAAAAATACATTCAGTTACCTAAAATATTAAACTCTGCACAGGAAAAAGCTGAAAAGCTAGTGTTGAAAACAAATGAATAGGGAAAAAAATTCTGCAACCTATCTGATAAAGGGCTGTTCAAAAATGTTGAGAAACGCCACTATCCTCCTCTCCAAACACAGGCATCACAAAAAAAAAAAAAAGCCAAAGATATGAATAATTTATAAAAAGGACAAACAGATTTGAAATATTAAGAAAAAATTCAACATTATTTTAAAAAGACAAAAGAAGACCAAGGTAACATTTTCCCTCAGGTGCGATTATACCATCTCTTACCTAGGGTGAAGGAGAACACACACTCAGAAAACTGATAAAACTTCTCTCACAATTTTAGCTTATTAAAACTTTTTAAATTCATCCTTTATCCTGTTAAATTCACATCTAGAAATTAACTTTTCTGATATATTCCAATGAATGGGCAGAGAGATAAATGTACAATATTCAAATATACCATTATTTTTAATCTCAAAAAACTGAAAACTAAGCATCTAACAGTAAGGGACTTCTCGTACAAACATACAAAGGAGTAATAGTGCATTCATTAAAAGAAAAGGCTACAGTTCCACTTTAAGCATTATCTTCAACATATTGCTAGCTTAAAAAAGATTCAGGTGCCATTATTATTATACATTCACCGTAATTTAACCAGTACTGTAAGGAGAGTCATTTAGATATTCTTCAGTTTTACCACATCACCACTGTAGTAAGTATCCATGTACAAATACCCAATTTGCCCATACATATTATCTGAATTTACCATGCACATGTTTCTTTTTAAAAAGAAAACATTTTTCTTTACTTAATTTGGAAGCCTGAAAGTGACATGATTAGCAAGAAACACTGATAAAAGCAACCTTCCAAAAGTTTTGTTAAAGTGATTTTAATCATTTTTTCTTCTTTCATTTAAAACAAGTTGATTTATACAAAATAAAAGACTAATGGTTTCTACATAGGAAGTTCTAATAATTACAAAGAAAAACACTGTATCCAATAGATCAACTGTAAATAAATGATAATTCACAAAGAAAAAAGTATTAAGCATTCGAAAAAGTAGTTCAACCTAGTAACAACCAAGTAAATGAAACAGTGAAGATACCTGTGGGAGTAACAAATTCTTCAATGTTCCTTCATTCAAATATGGATCCTGACTTTTTGTGGGAAAGTCTGGCTTCACAGGTGTGCAATCTATACAGTCATACTGGTTCCCAAATTCAAAAGAGCCCTGTGCTTGGTTTAATGCTCTATCATACTGAAATCTGTAGTACCATTATAACAGAGAGCCCTTCACTTTCATTTCACTAGTTCTGGAAAATTATATAACCAGTCCTGGGAATAGGCAAGACTTAGGGACATGCGTCCTATAACAGAATGTGGTAGTGTGACATATGTGACTTCTGAGGCTATTTCATAACAGCCACTGCAGCCTCATCTTTGCACATTCTCATCTATCACTCAATCTAGGCAAAGCCAGCTGCCATTTCCTCAGAATAACTAAGCATTCTTATGGAGCAGCCTAGCGAACCTTCCAGATGATTACAATATTGGCTAACAGTCTGCCTACAATCTCATAACAGACTCCAAACCAGAAGCACCCAGCTAAAGCTGTTCACCAATTCTTAAGCTCTAGAAACTGGGACACAGTAATGAGGTAGTTTTTAATGGTAATTTGTTAAGACAATAATATATAACTGATAAAATAAAAATGCTGACAAAAGGTACAATGAAACTTAACTTCTCATATACTCCTGGTAGAAATGTATATTACTACAAGATTTAAAACAAGTTCATTATTAAAATTGTCAACAAAATCTACTCTACACTTAAAAAACAGCTGGCTGCGTTGGCACATGTCTGTAGTCCCAGCTCTGCAGGAGGCAGAAAGATCACTTGAGCCCAGGAGTTCAAGACCAGCTTGGTCAACAAGGTAAGACCTCATGTCATAAAACAAAAATTTCATGTAGAAAAATGTTCATTATGATTTTACTTACAGCCCCAAGTTAAAAATAAACTAAATACCTCAAAATAAAATGTGAACACATGGACAATTTTGAGAGGCAATACTAATTACTGAACTCAGGGCCTTCTGCTTGCTAGACAGGCACTCTACTATTTGAGCCGCAGCCCCAGTCCCTACACATGGACTATTTTAAAATCATTAAAAATGAGGTCATATTATGCAAAAACAGTTTCCCATATTACAAAGTTATATATAAAAGAGTAGATAATGATTTGAAACTCCAAGTTCATTTTTAAACATGCATTAAAAAACACACAAAAAAAATTTCCACAATTTTCTTATTTTCTACATCTATTGTCTAATTTTATTTATTCATTTATTTTTTGGTGGGACAGAGGACTGAACTTAGGAATTCACACTTGCAAAAGCAGGCACTTTACCACTTGAACTACTCTGCCAATCCATTTTGCGCTGGTTATTTTAGAGATGGGGTCTTGCGAACCATTTGCCTGGGCTGGCCTCAAACACGATCCTCCAGGATCTCAGCCTCCCAAATAGCTAAGATAATAGGCGTGAGCCACAGCACCCAGAAACTATTGTCTAATTTTTAACTGGCATGTTTTTCTTGAAAACAAAAAGGATTCTATAAGCAAGATTATGGGGAAAAAATGTTCTTCACAATCAAGTAATGCTAAAAATGAAGTGGGTATTATTACTGAGATCCTCCCAAAATAAGTAGGAAAATCAACGAAAACTATTTTGTGAGTGGCATTTATGATGGACTTACCCAAAAGAAAACTTTCTGGCTTCCAAGTAAATCTGGTTGATCAATTCTCTAGTTGGTGCTACAATAATACACTCTGGTTCCTGTAGCTCCTTAAAGCGACTTGCTGTTATTCCATCACGCATCAGATGAGCCAAAATTGGCAGGAGAAAAGCCGCCTAGAAGTTAAGCTGCTTAATTTAAAAACTTATAATGCATCACTTTTGTCCCAAAAGAAAGTTATTCCTCATGTCCTTATAGACTTTAAGAGACTCCTACCTTGCTGGTTAATTTAAGATGAGAAATTAAAACAATTTTTACTTCAACAAGTTAACATTTAGGTATTCATGCCTATACAACATAAAATGTTTGATAAAATTAACCTACACCATCAAAATTTTTAGTCTTTTAAGAAAATAAGTATATCCAAGCATTCTAAGTAGGCCAACAACATTAACTTATTTACAGAGAAGAATATAGACATAATTTGTTAGAAATTACTGTATTTAACAATTATTCTAAATGAACCTTTGAAAGTAGTAACAAAATTATCACAGGCACAAATCTGAAAATTATCATTTTGATGAGTAAACACATCACCCAAATGAAGTTACATACAGGAAAAGTTCTGTGCTATAGTTTTCTCATTTGAGCAAATAAAACACTTCCAGAGCCACTGATCAGCCACTATGTTATACAGTTCACCTCTTTTCAATTCTATGATGGAGACCAATTAAAACTAAAATGGTAGGAACCAGGATTCTACAATCCTAGAAACATTCTCATTTCATGGAATCCTACTTAACAAACCACCCAGTTTAGTCCTAAAACCATGCTGACCTCATTCAGTTTCTTTCTGAATTAGCATAAACTGAGGCCACTTCATACTAAGGATATGTACAATACACATAGCTGTCTCTCGTTCTTTATCTTTTGACTACATGTTTACACAGCTGTATTATAGAAATTATTTTCTTCCCTCAATGTATAATCTCTGGTCTTTGATCTTCAGTCATTTGTTTTAGATATTACTATGTACCTGAAAGAATTGGAACACACTCAGAAATAGATTAAACACCTATTAAATACAACACACAGATAGTTCTAAAGTCTTTCTTCACAAGTACACAAGCCCTATAAAACCAGAAATTAGGAGCAGAGTCATGTTTATGACAGTTCACTGAAACCATCTATAAAACTCCTATGCAACAAAATAGATTCAAGCTTCTTAGAGACAATACAAATTTCAAAAACTGTAGCAGTTGAATAGAGGGCAAAACACATTTGGAAAAAGAACTTACAGTCTTCCCAGACCCTGTCTGAGCACAAGCCATCAAATCTCGTCCTGCTAAATAATAGGAATACTATATTTTTGCACAGGGGTAAGCTTGGTATAACCAGCTTTTGCAATGTTATTATTCAGTGTCTGACAGAGATTAGCTTCTTCAAAAGTCTGAAAAAGAAAAAGGTAATAATTATTTTTTTATGAGTTAATTTCCTATTTACTGTGTTTTTTTTAATTTTTATTTTTTTATTATTCATATGTGCATACAAGGCTTGGGTCATTTCTCCCCCCCTGCCCCTACCCTCCCTTACCACCCACTCCACCCCCTCCCTCTCCCCCTACCCCCTCACTACCAGGCAGAAACTATTTTGCCCTTATTTCTAATTTTGTTGTAGAGAGAGCATAAGCAATAATAGGAAGGAACAAGGGTTTTTGCTAGTTGAGATAAGGATAGCTATACAGGGAGGCGATTCACATTAATTTCCTGTGCATGTGTGTTACCTTCTAGGTTAATTCTTCTTGATCTAACCTTTCCTCTAGTTCAAAAGGTAATAATTAGATCCCACATATATTCATATCATTTCATAAGCCATATTCCATTTGAACTTTCAAATTTTGCTGATTTCAACTTTATATACTAATGTTACCAATAAGCCCCCACTCAAACCTAAATTTCTATTTTTTCATGACTTTAAAGAAGTATTCCCTATATACTGTGGTTCTAAAAACATTTTTCTACCCCTTTAAAACCTGTAAGATATTAAGGGAAAAAAACGAGCAGTAACAAGGACTCATTATAATTATTAACAAGAGACAGAAGGCTCCTCTAATCCTCCTTAGAAATCCATTCCCCTAGGCACACTTTTCTCATGTTCTTAGGGTACAAACATCTTAAGTTTCCAGAAAAAGTATACTTTTTAGTAAAGAAATTTAAATAACATTCCTATTCTGATATGGAGAGTGACAATGAAATCTAGTATTCTCTCTTTTCACATTGAAATTATGAAAATGGCAGGCATCAATCTAAATTTCTAAAGACATTAGATACTAAGTGAATTCTGTGCTGATGCCAGCTTAAATGTACCAGATATTTCTAACCAAAGTATACCGCTAAGTATCAATGCAAAACATATACTAACCAGAATTGCTGGTGGTGCATCATGTCCAGATACTTCTACAAGAATAGTGTCATATTTGTCAAAGTTTATGCCTGTCTGATAATGTGCAAAGATGGAGTCCTCATCTTCTGGTGGAGGAGGGGGTATATAGGTCACTTTGGGCCCTTGGAAAATAAAAATCATAATATACATTACACAGACTAGAAGAATAAGAGAGAAAACAGACAAAAACAATTTTTAAATATTATGGAACTTTCCACTGCTTACTGCTTGTTTTCCGTGTTCAAATTTTTAAAACCTAACTCCTTTTAGACTTACTATATTTTTATTAAAATGCAATATACATACAGAGGGGCCATACAAATGTCACTATACCTTGAATGTCACCACTTTCTCCTCCTTCAGCTTCTGACTTCCAAGAATCTTAAAGGTGATCCAAACCAAAAAGATAAATATTTTTAGAAATCAAGGGGTAAAGAAATCTCACTATAAACATTACTCTACCTAAGGTAAAACTTACTTTTTCCAGAGCCTGTTATTACTTCTTCATTTAAACCTTTATAACCACCTATTAAAAGAAATTCATAGTGACAATCAGACAAGATACAAAACTGTACACGTATCTACTTTCCTCTTTCTTCAAAGAGGAAAAGTCTTAAAAAATGGACAGGTATCTTTAAAGGTCCTTCTTACAAACAATACTTGGAATGGTTAATAAACAAAATCTTGGGGCTGGGGGTAGAGTTCAGTGATACAGTGCTTGTTTAGCATGGGCAAAGGCCCTAGTTTGATTCCCAGAATCCCCACCACCAAAAAAAAAAAAGATAAATAAAATCTTGTACATTTTAAGTTTATCTAGTATTAAAATGCTAATTTTATGCAGATGAGATTATACATTATTTTTTGCTTAAGCTGTTATGTCTTTCTCCTACTCATCAAAAGAACATATTTTCAAAAAGACACTAAAATTTGTTTTGGAGTCCCCAGGACCATCTCTCAGGTTGGATGATTTGGTAGGACAGCTCAAAATGGCTATGATGTACTGCAGTAAAATAACAGCAAAATCAGCCAAGAGAAAAGGCACTGGGAAAAACCCATAGAAAACCAGGTACAAGCTTCCAATAATTTACTCCCACCAGAGTCACAAAATTATGACAACACAAATGAAATACCTACCAAAATGCTTCAAGGTTCAGTACCCAGAGTTTTTATTAGGGTCTGATAATGCATGTACCTTCAGCCTGGCACAAAGCATAACAAAATTCCAGACTCTCAGAAGGAAAGCAAGTATTCAGTATATATTACACTGTTTGTACAAACAATCAACCTAACCAATTAGGAAGGTGGGAACCATTCCCACGTCCAAGTTCTCAGATGCTAGCCATGATGGTATTAGGTGTCAACTTAAAGGTAACTGATGAGCATTATTTCTGGGTATGTTATGAGAGTGTTTCCAGAAGACACTGGCATTTGAATCTGCATCAGGAAGGCAGATCCTCCCTCACCCAATGTGAAGCACCATATAATAGGTTGAGGGCCCAGATAGAACAAAAGTCAGAGGAAAGGTATATTCTCTCTTCTTTACCTACCTTTAAGTATTAGAATTCTAGGTTCTTCAGCCTTTGGGCTGCAGGACTTGCATCATTAGCTCCCACACCCAGATTATTGGGTCTTTGGCCTCAGAGTAAGAGTGATACCACTGGCTTCTCTGATTCTGGGGTCTTGAGAGTTAAGACTGGACCATGGTATTGGCTTTCCTGGTTCTCCAGGTTGCAGATGATCTAGTGGGACTTCTCAGACTCCATAACTTTGTAAGCCATTTCCCCTACTAAATCTACTTCTCCTCCATCCATACACTACTTAATTCTACCTAATATACACTAGCCAGAAACCAACCTTGTAAGCAGTATTTTCAATTCCACTGATTGATTTTCGGAGAACAGCAGTTTGCCCTGTTAACTATTTTTGATAAGCTATCTTTCTGATTTTTAGATAACTAGTCATCTATTGTCCCACTTTTAGGTACTCTGATTGTATCACATTCAAAAGATAATTGGATATAACATTTTTTACACATGAGCTCTCTATTTTCATTCTCTAGGTCCACAAATCTTGAAATCCTCCTTCATACAAGATTTGAGCATTTGTGGAAGATCTCATTTAATCTTTAACAAACTTTTTCTACACTGAAGAATCCACAAGAAGCCAGGGGAAGGGGAATTTTCAATTTGTTCTCAGAATAATTACTGAGAATCTTTGAATACATCAAACAAGCTTTACTGGGTTACTAATGTGGAAAACATTTTAACTTTTATACAACATTTATTTACATTCTGAAAATTTTTCAGAGTAAAAAATAATATATATTGAGCTAAATTTCTCAGACCAAAATGAACTAATTTTTCCATGATAAGAAAAAGCATATTTACCAATTCATACATGTAAGTATCTCAATATTAACATCTGCACAGTTTTCTACTTTATAGTTACATTAAACAGCTACTGACAAATTCTGAGTGATTTTTAGCTTTTACTTAGTATAAATGAAGACTCAGTGAACATCCTTATATGTTCATTTCCAAATATATTTATAGTATATAATTCCTATATTGGAATGGCTGAATCAGAAAGAACATACTTGAAGAGTTTTGTGGGGAATTTTTTGGGTTTTTTTTTTGGCAGTACTGGGGTTTGAACTTAGGGCTTCACACTTACTAGGCAGGTGCTTTACCACTTGACCCACTCCACCAGCCCCCTGAAGAATTCTAAGAACTGTTCAATGCAGGCTATGTAAATTTATACTCCTCACAGTGTCTAAAATTTTAACAGTGACCTTTAACTTCAAAAATTCAGTTTAGACTACAGTAATTTTAACCTCTGATAGATAAACCAAATAAGAACCTACCTCTCCCACTTCCACTGCCACTTCTGCATTGGTAACTGTCACCATGACCTAGAAGGCATTATTTTTGCATAGTATTTAGAGAAAACATAGCTACCCACCCCCAAGCACATAAACCACTGTTATTTCTATTCAATATAGGGTAATTACTTAGCATTCTTAGTCGCTTAACACATTTTTCTAGATTTAATTTAAACTTTACCTTCATTTGAACATCTTTCATTTACAATTGTGTTCTTTTTTCATTTTCACCTCAAATCATTTTCCCCTACCTCAGAACCTTCTCTTTGAAAATAATGCGAGCTTCACTTTCCTTCCTTAAATTAAAAGTATAGTGCATATCTCAAATTAACTGGTAAATAACAGAAAAAACTCACAGTCCACAAATTTTACAAGGGAAACAAAATTGTCCATGTATTTTTGCCTGCAGATCTAAAAAGCAGGGAAAAATCATTACCAACCCAGTATATACTTAAACAGATATACTAGGTTTACTAATCTTAGTGTTTAAAGCATGTATGAATGATTGGCATTAGCAGTAAGATTTATTTCTCACCTGCACCACTTACTGCTGGTCTTCTAGAACCAAAAAGACCACTAGTACGCTGCACCCCCTCATCTTGGTCATATTCGTTATCTTGATTCAGAAGAAAATTAAAATTAGATCATGTCACTTGTAAAAAGTTTTTTAATCACTCAGTACAGAAAAAACATTATGGTTTCAGAAAAAAATTATGATTTCAGAACTTAAACAATGTACAGTAAAATAATTTAACAAGAATCACAATGAGCATTTTTCTAAGTATCTCACAAAGGATTTCTCCACAAATTATATATTTCAATTATAAATTACTTTCTCAAAATTTTTATTAAAGCCATTTTATAAAATTAGGGCAAATGCCATGCAATAAAGTTGTAGCTCCTAAAAGTGGCACTGTTACTTAGGCCAAAAGAATTTCACATTGCATCATTTTACTACTTACTCTCCAGAATAGCATCTCTGCTCCTACTATTGCCAAATCTAATGTCACTAGCCCTGAAGTAAACCTTTCAGATCCCTTTACTTTTTAAAAAATGGAGAATGTATTAACCTGCTACACATTTATTAAATTGTTATAAATTTATTGGCTTTTAGCTTCCCAAATCATTAATCTGTCCTCCTCTGTTAAGAGATACATGCAGGCTGGGTGCATGACTGAAGTAGTAGAGCTTGAGGTCGTCAGTTCAATCTCCAATACCACAAAGAAAGAAAGACAGACATATACATTACAACAGTGACTTCTGAAGATAATACCTTAGTACTAAAAAATGATGCTTGGAAGAATTTAAAGTAGAAAGCCATGACAGTGAAATAACATATACCAAAAGATAGAGCCACATAAAAGACCTCCTATATATAAGGTCAGCCATATTAACAAGGATCCAAAACACTTAACAATATGTAATACTAAATAATTGGCTCATACAAACTTCTGAAAGAAATAACATGTTCCAACTTAACCAGTATACAATTACATGTGTCTAGAAATAGTATCATTTATAATGTTATTAATTTGTATCAGCCAGTGTGCTAAAATATACTCATTGAATCCTTGAAACAACTTTATGATAGGGTTTTTTTTAATCATCTCATTCTTAACAAATGAAGCACACCATTTGCAATCCACTACTAACTTGATCTTCCTAAACCAAATCCTCCACGGCAACCTCGGAAACTACCTCTTCCACCTCTTCTGGATAGCCCTGAAGCTTCTGAATCATTTCCATCTTGATGGCCTACAATATTAAAATACACACACACAAACAACACAAAATAATAACAACAAAGAAATCTTGGAGACAATGGTGCCCAAATTTTAGTTTTGCATAATTCAATACTGTTAAGTACATACTTTAAGGTATTAGCAGTAGTTACTATAAAGAAAAGTCATGACTGACTTAAGTTTTTACTTTACTGATATAAATATGGCTACGATTAGAAAAACCCATTTTTATTTTGAAAATCAAAACTTAAAAATAAAATAGAAGTATTACTTGAATAAAACATTGAGAGTTGACTATTAACTGGATTTCTACAATCTATAGAAGGATTAATTCTAGACTTACATTTGATCTTTATAAATAGTAATCACCTTAAAGCACAGACAAGTACAGACATATAAAGTCTCATTCCCTGTTATAAACAATTCATTTTTAATTCAATTCAAAACAAAAAAAAAATCAGTAGAGACATTTCAATAAAATTTGATTCCATGTAAGGAAAAAAGGAGATCAATTCTAAACCAAAGTGCCAATTACACAGGAAATACAGAATTTTAGTTTGCTGCATTTAAAACTGTTTATACCTTTAGACCTATAAAGTCCTATATATTCTATTTCTCGGCAATAGGTTTACATATTGTAAAGGCCTGTTTATAAAATGAGACAAAACTAATTCAAAGTAGATTCTTGGGGCTGGGGATTTAGCTCAGTGGTACAGTGCTTGCCTAGCATTTGAGAGGTCCTGGGTTCTATCCCCAGCACTCCCCCACCAAAGAGGAACCCTTGGCTAAACAGCTGAGCAGAGCTCCTAAACCTGCACAGGGGAATGGGGAAACACCATCACTTGGCACTCAGTACAGCATATCTATCTTTGTGGGGGTGGACATAAGGACAGAGAGAAAGCCTCTGTCTAAAGTGACACAGACTTGCACAGTAGAGGAGGGGTATCACCCAGAGGAGTCATATGAGAACTGCAGACTAAAACCTCAGGACCAGAAATTGGAGAGGAGTGTCTAGTGTATTCACTGAGCACCAAATAAACCCATTCCTCTAGACAATAAGGAAGAAATTTGGGCCTTAATTTTTTTTCATTTTTGTCAAAATTTAATTTGTCTAACCCTCTTTTGCTCCAAATTTCTTATTTTTCAATTCTTCCTCATCCCCCCCCACTTTTTTCCTTTTTATTTCTTCCTTCTACTTTTTTCCCTACTTCTCCTATCTCTCCGATACAAACCACTAAACTAGTAGTTTATTCTGCCACCTTCTTACATTACTCCCATCTTTCTTATCCTTCTACAATTCCTGACACCCTCCTCAACAACTGAACTATACCTCTACACACATTAGGGTATTATTAACCTGCAGTCCCCACATAGTGAAGGGGATGAAACCTCATTTCTGAACTCGAAAGAATGATGACAAGAATGATCAAGGAGGTTAAAGAGGACATACAAAAACAAGTCAATGAATTCCAAGAGTACATGGATAAAAGACTTAAGAAGTCACAAAAACAAAATATACTTAAAGAGGATACAAATATCAGAATGAAATCAAAGAAGATTAAGAAAAGATAAATGAAAAAAGAAAGACAATCAAGATGTAAAAGGGAATTTAATAAGAATACAGAAAGTCCCGAGGGAAAAAAAAAAAAAAGCAGATACCCTGTAAATAAAAAGCTCCTTAAGTCAAATAAAAAATATATATAGTTGAAAGCACTCCATCAGACTGGAACAAGAAGACAGAGTTTCGGGAGTTGAAGACAAAGTAAAGCCAATAAAATGAACAGATGAATATATAGAGAAGATGAAGAACTATGAAAGGAGTATGCAAGAACTCTGACTCCATTAAAAGACCAAACCTACAAATCATGGGCATTGAAAGAGAAGAGGTGCAAGCCAAAAGCATAGGAATTGTAAACAAAATAGCAGAAAACTTCCCAAATCTCAAGAACGAGATGTCCATCCAGGAACAGGAGGCCTCTAGGACAGCAAACAGTCATGACCAAAATAGAACCTGTCCATGGCATATTATGTTAAAACATTAAGCACAGAGAAGGAAAGACTACTAAAAGCTACAAAAGAGAAACGTCAAATCACTTATAAAGGAAAACCTATCAGAATAATCAGATTTCACAACAGAAATCTAAGAAGTGATACGGGCATGGAATGAATTATATTAAGTATTGAAAGAAAATAATTACAAGCTCTTGGCTCTCTGCTCTTTCCCTCTCCCACACGGCAATAAAGAATCTCTTGGCCAGATCACTCCTCTCCACGTGGTCACTTTTGGGGCCTATATTTCCTTATATTTGGTGCCATGACTTGGGGCGGGTTTCCCCACTAATCCTGGTGGGATCCCCATTCCGACTCGCCCCATGACCACCCTGAGGACATGACTGGCCAGGACTCATCCTCCTGATCGCCCTCGCTTGCATCCAACGCCGGACATTCTTTGGTGAGTCCACATACCCTTATTGGGCTCCCTTTGCGGTCTCTCCCTTTGGTGTCTCTGGGGTTTCCAAACACTCTCCCTGTTTGGCTATCTCTGGGTGGCTCAGGCGGCAGAAGGATTCCCTCAGTTGTTGGGCTTGGATCCATTTTGTCATGGGTCTCAGAGACCCCTCGTCAAAAGCCTGGGCCCAGGTGACCCACAGCCCTCGGCCATTCAGCCCAGCATGCCACTAGAACTCAATGACGATTGATTTTTGCGGGCGTTGTGCTATTGTTGGGGATTTGTGCTGCGTGAGGATGCGCCACAGTACGTAATATCCTCCTCTCCCATTACGGGACCAGGTCCCACACAATGGGTGCCTCTACATCCTCTTTGCTGTCTGACTCCCCACTGAGATGCCTCCTCAATAATTTAGACACCTTAGGTTTGACCCCAGATGTAAAACCAAAAAATTTAATCCGCTTTTGCACTCAAATCTGGCCCACTTATCCTTTAGACAACCAAAATCACTGGCCCCTTTTCGGGTCTTTAAATCCCAACCTTTTACGGGACATACAACTACTGTGAGTGATCAGGACGATGGGGAGAGATTCCATTATGTCCAAGCCTTTTCATACCTCTGTCTAAATCCGGCTCTCTGACTTCAAATCCTCCCTCTGTACTTTCTGTTCCCCTGCGCAGATTCTATCAGCCTGTAAAGCAGTTTCTAAATCAGCCAATTCCTCTCCAAACCTCCTCCTTCCCCACATAAGCAGACTTCTTGCACTGCTTACTATACCTATCTCCTCCTATCTTCCTGAAAAACTTTCCCTGTCATGGAGTTAAACAAGCCACTCCTTGCCAAATCTGGCCTCAAGGCGATTCCAGCTCTGAGAGAGCTCATGCTTTATTTGATGACCAGAGAGTGGAGGTTTCGTTTCCTGAAAGCCTACCAGTACCAATCAATGGGAGCAACCTGGAGACAACAGGTGATGGCTAATCCCTTAAGCTTGTGTCATGCCTCCAGGCTCTGCCTTCCCCTCCCTTACCTAAGATGTCAGCACACCTTTTCTGCCTCCTCCATGGTCTCACCACGTGTCCTTTGTCTCTGTCTGCCTTCCCCTCCCTGGGCTTACTGGGACCCTGCCTCCCATGAAAAACTTGTAGCATGGTACCTTATGATTTAACTTACTCCAACTAGTTTGCCAGGCCTCTCAGTCTAAAGTAACTTTAAATCAGCCACTTTACAAAAGCGCTTACAAAAACCTACAGCTGCCACGCTCATGCTCTAACTCCACTCCCACAAGGGGAGGAGGGAAAGCAAACAGGCACACCTGTGCACAGGATGCAGGCTTCTGGACACAGCAAAAACGCCTGCCCTAGCTAAGAAAATCCATAGAGAGGACCCAGTACATCCTGGGCCACCAGCCACACATGGCGATGGCTGCAGCCCACCGCCACTTCCCCTACAATAAACGTGTGCAGAGTACACAGGAAGGGGGGAGGGGCAACAGGCCGCAGGATCAGGCCTAGGCAGTCAGGGTCATTTGTCCCAGATGTGTGTGGAGGGAGTGGCGCCTTGCACAAGTCCTGCTCCTAGCCCCACCTCATACCTCAGGGCATCAGACCCTTGTAAGTCAATTGTTAGCTCAAAGTTATAGTTCCAGAAATAACTAAATAGACATTACTGTGGTCTCTGAATTTCTCATTTAGAATTTTCTATACCTTTGGCCTCAACATAAATTTTTCCCTCCAAATATTAACACTAGTTGTCCCGTATGGCACTGTTATTGGCCTGAAATGCCCTCTGAATGCCCTTCTCTAACTTTACAAATGATTTCTTTGTTAAAAAGGTAGCATTTTATTAAAGAGGCTGCCTGCTGTTAGCTAAAAGACAGGATCCTAATGTTTGTTCTTTCTAGATGGGACCTGCATCTTCCAGTCTTCTGCCTGGTAGATGTTGGAAGCTTTGTACTGAGGCCTGGCCTCAGTATGCCTTGGGTGACCAAGAGAAGTGGCCTTCACAGGGTTCCTTAAATTACAATACCATACTCCAATTAGACCTTTTCTATAAAAGTAAAAAAGTAAAAAGTAAACTGAGGTCCCCTATACAAATTTCTCTCATTAGAAAAGCAATGGGTTCTGGCCCAGGCCATTGGAAATCATTGGAAATGATTATAAGGCTCAAGCAATAGCATGCCGCTTTACAAGCAGAAAGTCCTGAGTTCAAGCTCAGTACAGCCAAAGTAAAAAAAATAATAATAATAATAATATTTGGGGCTGAGGAAGTGGCTCAATGGGAGAATGTCTGCCCAGCATATGCAAAGCCCTGTGTTCAATTCCCCAGCATTAATAAAAAAACAAATAAAAAATGGTAAAGAAGATAAGTGGCATTAATGTCACTTCAGCCATCTCATAGTGGAAAAACGTAGTTTAACCTAGACCAGATCCCTCATTCTTCAAGCGAGGAAACTGAGGCCCAGAACAGTTCAGAGATTTGTTCTCCAGAGTGTCAGGTGTCAATGTAAAATAACAATTTTACTTTACAGCAACATCCTATCAGAAAGCATACCACAGTGGACTCA